AATTGCCTTTCAGCTGCCTGCTGACAAGTGGCTGCTTTATGTTCATGTGTGCTCCATAGGCAGGCAGCAAAAATTCTTCAAGTTCAAATATGACATTTAACTTTCAGCGAAGAAACCCAGAGCAGTAGTAGCCCAGCCTACACTTAACACAAAGTCACAGCATTTGAATACATACTGGGGTAATTTCAGAAGGCAAATGAAACAAATACCTCCCAAGCCACTTAACATTCAAAGTAAAATACATTCTGCAACTTGTCAGGATAAACCCACTTGCAAGGAATTCTAAAGAGTTGTTCTGCTTCTTCTGGACAGTTTAGTGAGCTAGTTCTCCGAAATGCCGGGCAAGGTGCCACCCATACCTCCAGTCCCAACACCCTCCCCTGCAACCATGACCCCAGCCCCCCATCCACACCCCTGAGTCTAGACAATCTTCACTCCATCACAATAAGTCCCTTTTCACCATCAATTAACTACTACTCTATTTAGTGGCCATTATACCTCTGGGGCAAATTTAAAGTTTTTCTCTATCACAGCTTCAACCATTTCAACCCAGACAAGGATGAGGTGACTCTCAATTAAAAGGAGAAAACAGTTCTCCTGTTTTCAAGCTCTTACCAGAAGTAAGGAGCCTGTGCAATAAAAACAAAATAAAACAACAACAAAAAAAGAAAAAAGTAAGGAGTCTAAGTTCTCTTTCTAATCACCATAAATAACTTGGCACTGGATTTCTGTAATCTTTTTTATCTGTTCTTCCTTACAAAATCAAAAGTAGTTAGTGACACTAAGGGATTTATATACCTCATGAGGAGTATATTATTAGAAGCGGAGGGAATGAATTCTGAAGTTTCAAAAGTATTAGAGCACCAACGTTTATAAAGTTTGCTTCAGAGTTCACTGCTTTTTCCACAGTGAATCGCTTCAAATTCACTGTTTGTAATTTTGTCCCAATCTGACTCAGGAAGAAATATCTTGTGGTACAGTTAGATTCTAACCTTTCAAAGAGCAAAAATACACATAAGGCAGTCTTAACGTCCCTAGACCAGCCTTGCTGGAGTGTCAGAGGCATGCCACTAATGGGGTAGCGGTGGGAAGCCAACATTTCTTAAAATAAGTCACTTTCCCACTATAAACAGACAGTGTCTCCACTTGTCTGCTAAGTCTACAACATCTAAGATCCAAAGCTGAAAATGAACATACCCTGATAGCAGGTCAAGCAACAGGGCAGAAACTTTTCATTTTACATGATGAAGAAATAACCCAGTCTAGAATGGGGAAAAGGTGGCTCATGTGCTAAGCTTAGGTGGCTACCTGGAAAGATTTCTGCCAATTCCAAGCTAACCACAGCTAGCAGTGCTTTGCTTTGCCACTCAGTTCTATCATTTCTTCTTTCTACACTCATGGAAACGACTTCCTGTTTATCAAACAAATGCTTCTTTCCAAAAGAGTCAGGGTGAGGCCAAGATAACTCAGCTTCCTGGGAGAAGGTTAACAGGAGTGCACTCAAATGTCACACTGTCCCTAACCCTCGGAGGCCCCAAGCTGCCAAGGACTAGAGGAAGAGGGTTTGCCATTTGGTTTTCCTTGCCAAGATTCCAGCTACCTCATACCAGGCTTCTTTACTTGTTGCTGCTGCTGGTTACCATCTCTTTTCTTCATCCTTCCAGTGGTCCAGGCCAAAAACCTTGCTGTCGTCTTTCATTCTCTTTCTTCCACACCCCACATTCAATCCATCAGCAGATTTTATAAACTCTGCTGTCAAAATACATCCAGAATTCATCTCTTCCTCACCCTTATCCCCACCCCACTCTAGTGCCACCAACCTAGTCCAATAGCCATTATCTCCCTCCTGGTTTACTGCAGTAACCTTAGAATAAACTCCTAACCAGTATCCCTGATTCTGCCTTTGGCTCACTGCGATCTACTCTCAAAATGACAGCCAAAATAAGAAGTCTCTTTTTTTTTCTTTTGAAATAATTACAGATTCACA